CATCCCAGTCGGAATTCGAATTCATGACCTTTGGATTTAGATAAGTTCAACGGGCTATCCATTGCGCTACAGGGACACATTGAAAGATTTTCCTATCTTTATAGGTTGTTGGACTATTATTTTTTTGTTACTATTATCTATTCATTTTTTAATTTAATTAATGAATTAGTATTTGAAAAAAAAAACTGTATTAATATCATATATGATCCACTACAAGTTTAAAAAATGAACTTGATTGGATGAATAGAAAGTATTTTATTAACGATTGAAAATTTTAATAATATATATATATATATATAATGTTTCTTTGTTTCTATTATGTTTATACTTTTGTTAAGTGCTACATTTCAGCCATTCACATGCTTTGAATCTGCATTAGGATCTAGAATCTGGCAATAACTTATTTATTGCACTCCGATTTAGTGCGGGCTCTGCATTTTCAAGTGCAATTTTTAGGTAAGTTACTTCTATCTTGTAATGGATTTAGATATTCCTATCCATTACTTTCAATAGGTTTTTGCTCAGTTTTATTTACATAAAGGGGGAAGGTTGACTGGCCAAAAAACTTGTTCAACCCCACTTTTAAATAAATTGTTTTATATATTAGCTATCCTAAGTCAGCAGTTTATAATATTGCAGCATCCATTTTATAATTTTTAATCTAGTGTCCTTCATTGTATGATCTTTTTACTGTATGTGTTTTTTCGAATGTGATTGATGAACGATTATCTCTTATTTATAGAGAATTAGACTATATATATATATATATATATATATATATATATATATATATATATATATATATATATATATTGATAAATTCAAGAATATCCAGAAATTTATATTTTGTTGCATACAGAATGATTATCCCATCAACTTCTTGAGAAAATAGATAGATCAAAAATACTTAAAAATATTTTTAAGCTCATAACTGCACAAATCCACCACACAACATTAGGTCCACAAAGGCAGCTTGTTAGTGGTCCAGCTGTGAAGAATATGTGCATTCCACACACAGGATACATTTTAATACACACATAGACCAATATTTACACGACTGCACTTTAAAATTATTTATGACCAATCAAACGTTTATTACCAATCAAGCAAGTTTTTTGCATGCAATCTGATTTGCATCTAATACCAAATAGTTGAACTCTAATGTGAGATTGGGAATCGTTTAGATTGACATGGCATTAATGGAAGTTATGAGCAATATAGGAGTGGTAATTGTTGTATTAAATATGAGAAATCATTCAAAAATTGTGAATTGAATTATTGATAGGATGCTGTTTGGTAAATTTTTAATGATTTACGCTATTCATTTGTGAACATACTGGGTTTTTAATTTGAACTTTCGGATTTTAGATATTTTTCTACCTATATAACTGTTTTAAAGATGGGTGCATCATCTTTGGTGTTTGATGGTTCACTTATGTTATGCACTAAATTGTTTTAGAATTTTAATGTTATAATAACTTTCAGAATGCGATGGCGAATAGTTTAATTTTTCAAGTTTAATGGTTTAATTTTAACTTTTAAATTTTTGAGAATTGGACATTTTCCGATTAACTTACCAATTTGCAATAGGAGGAAGGTTGGCGCCATCAAACTAGTTTAACCCTACTTATTGGTCTTAAGTCCGAGGTTGAACGAGGTTTTTTACTGTGTTTTGTTCCCCAAAATCGACAAAATCAAAAGGAGCATTATACAAGATTGGTGAATTTTCGAACCCGGACCCCCTGAAAAATTCCTGTGTGCGCCACTATATATATATATATATTATGTATTGGAGAATTTCTTGGATTGACAGGAGAACCGTTTATCCTATTGTATTTTATTTCAATATTCAGTAAAGCAGTCTGCACTTCAAGCCATGACAAAAACTAGAGTTCTTTCAGCGTTGATCAGCAGCGAGTGAGTCTTTAGTACACGAGTATTCTTTAAGTCCGGCGAAAGTAGAATTCACAAAGTTCTTATGCGGGAGGTGGGTTGAGTTGTCCTGGTAGGAAATTTACCCCATCTGACACTTGAGGGGTTGGGGATTCATCACAATTTCCCCCCTCTGCATGTCTCGTACAACAACAGGGACAGGATCACGGACGACACAACGATGACTGAAAACTTAGGTATCTTGTTTTTTAACACTTTTATGTTTTACTTTGATAATCGTCATGGCGTGGAGTACCTAATACTATGTTACACAAATACACAAAATATTTCCGATTAAGTGGTTACAACCGAGAACAACGATATCACAATCACTAATTATTACAGCAATATATCGTTGATATTTACAAACATGATAACATATTTCAAAATAATACAATGATATACTAATGAAGGTATTAAACAGATATGAAAATTCTTCATTCAACTCTCAATCGACATACATCATGCTTGTATTTAGAAAAAATTGAATCATAATGGGAAAGTATTTCTCTTAACTCACACCTATTTTCTATGACAATCTTCGGTAGAACATTTTGATCCTCAGAGATCTGAGAATAAGAAGGAGTTACATATGTTTCTTCGTTTATATGTAAATAATATTTTCGTTCATTTTGGTATTTATTTATTGTATTTGCAATATTTCTATTTTGTTTTATTTGTAGATGACTGGAGTCAGTAGTAAGGTTAAATTTTGACAGTTCTGGTAGTCCAAGTATAAGATAGGGTAAAGTGTGATCTACAACATACATCGTTAGTAATTTAGAAATAGCACCTATTTTTAGATAAAATGAACATATCTTACTCAGATTAATTGTACCCTGGGTTTGTTGTACAATTATGCTTTGAGCATTTTTCTTTTTTAACTGGTGCTTCCTTACAAAATGCTGAGATATAATGGAGATAGTTGAACCGGTATCAAAGATACATGGTAAGGGTTTCTTTTTAATATATCCAGATATTTCCAATAATTGTCAAATTTTGGATTCTTCGGTTGGATGGTCAACATTTAGTTGCATAGGTATTTTAGGGGGTACTTGTATTGCCAAGAGTCTGAATGGACAAGTTTGAGTCCAATGATAGGCATTCTGAATCCCCTGGCATTCGCAAAATCTACATGGGTTAGGTGGCAAGTTACTCTGAAAGTGCATTTTCGGACTGTTAAACGTTCTAGGAGTTTGGTTAGGAACCTGGTTTTGTGTAAACTTATTTGGCCTAAAATCTCTAGGTTTCCAATTTTGGTAGTTTTCCCTAGGAACATTAAATATTAGGGTTCTAGAATTACTATGATTTTCAATTTTGTGCTCTTCACTGTTTTGAATTTTTAATAATTTAGTCGCGGTTACTATCCATTCTGTAGGGTTACTAGGATGACTTATAGTGAGTAACTACCTTAAATTAATGGGTAAGCCATCTGTGTTATTTTTTCTAATATCACAGATGTGGGTAAATTTAATTGTCTGCCAATTTCCAATTTTTCCTGGAAGTATTGAGCAATTTCCTTTGCATTAAAAGTTTTTTGCGTGAAATCAATTAAACTAGTAATTGATGGCGCAAGATATTTTTCTGTTAAAAAACAAGTGAATTGCTCCCAATTGTTAATTTTATCATAACAATTAATGTAATCCGTTAAGGCACTGTTCTTTAAATAGTTAGATATATTGGTAATTTTCCAAGAATCATCTAGGTTCAATTTTCGACATTTATCATTGAAGTATTTTAACCATGAAATTACTTGCATAGAATTATTTGGATCAAAAGCTATTAATTGATTTGGTTGATTTAATTGGTTTTCAGAAGTTTGATCTTTTGATATATCATTTGTTTCCGTCATATTTGTTTTTTTTACCACCACGTAACTGCATAAATAGTTTAAGAATTGAATAAATGAAATTAAAATCTATATACACCGAAAAACAATATCAAAAAGTTTTACATAAAAGCAAACGATCACAATTAAAAATCATACGCAAAGGAAATCAATGCAATTTTAAAAAATACATATACCAAAATATAAGAAATCAAATAAAGATACCAAATCAAGCATTAACTTATTCCAACTTTAATAACGAATGCAAGTCACACACAATTATAAAAAGTTACCATAATATAGAATTCTAAGTAATTATATTTTGCGAACTTAAAATAACTAAACTTACAAACTTGAAGCACTTGAAAACATCACAAAATTTTAGCATTAGAAGAGTAAAGATACCTTGACCTGGCCTTAGGAACCAGGATTGCAGGTTTAAACAAGTTTTGCGGCGCCAACCTTCACCTGTAATTTGTCATACTATGTACCAAGGGGAAAGGAAAGAATTATATATGTAGAATTTAAATATTAAAAAATCATTAAACTAAGTAACATAGGAACATACACATAACCTACTAATTCGGAGTTAAAACGATGGCCAAGAGTGCAGTAACGTGTTCCCGCCAAATAGGGGTGAGAGCAGAACCGCATAAAATTAATTGCGATATGATAATAAGAAATATATATAAATATATATATATATATATATATATATATATACTTTTAAAAAATCATAAAAATAATAATCATATAAAATTAGCGTAAAATATAAAAGAAACTCAAAAAATATATATTAAAAATTTTTTTAATAAGCATGTGGAGCCATCTATTTAATAATTGTAGAATAAATTAGATATTGTCTAAATTTAAAAAAAAAACGTTACAAAACATAATAACAGTAAATAATTACAGTAATACAAATTGTATCATAAAAAACCATTATAAATATAATTACAAAGAAAGTTAGCAGGATATCCATGTTCAATACAGTAATTAAAATTTTTTTTAAGATTTAAAAACAATATTTTATACATATATATATCCTATATATAGGATTTCTCCATACTGTTTTTTTTACTTATATATTTATATGTTTAGTCAAACGTTTAGAAAAAAGCAATCGTTTCAATAGCTATCTGTTAATTTTCCTTTTATTTGTTACTTATGGAAATTTGATTTTAATATATATATATATATATATATATATATATATATATATATATATATATATATATATATATATATGTTTTTTAGAAGGATTATTTTTGTTTCATTACAAAATGATAATCTAACTATATGAAATGAATGATTGA